TTAACTAAAATCACTCAAGCCTTAAATTGAAAGCTATAAATCAAAAGGCTCCATCATCCATCCAATACATGAATAATTCTACCCTAGCATATCTATAATAAAATTACATAAAATGAATTGAAAATATATAACCCGAAACTAAGAAATAATAAAAAATTATGAATTTTCTACGTTCTTGACTTGAATCTTGAAATCGGATGAAGAATCTTCAATTTCTATGCAATTTGCCTTGACTTAATCTTACTAGCAATGTTGTTTGGCTCCAAAATATGTATAATATGATGAAATTTAGGTCGAATGGAGGTCCCCCCACGTTCTAGTATTTAAAGCAGGTGAGGGTGCACGCCTTAATTTGACGAAGCAACTTTCAGTATTTTTATCATAACTTTTCCTCCTAATATTTTTCTAGAAGTAATATTTTTCTAATTCGAATACATGCTATGCCAAAAATGGGTTTTCACATGAGACTAAAAATTTAAAGCATAACTTCTTTGACTAGAAATTGACGCGTGATAATATTTTGGCTATATTTCATTCCTCTTGACATTTTTCTTCATCCAAACCATAATACTCTCGAATCTTTATCGTGAGGTCCGTCAAAATTTTGAGTATTTATACTTTAGCCCCTAAACTTTAATTCTCGTACAATTGAGCTCATTTTCACCATTTTTCTCCAATTCCTTATCAAATCACGAGTTTCACCTATTAAACACAATACACAACAAATTAAGAAATATTTTATTTAAGGAACTATAAGATGTCATTATTTAAAACCCCAAATCACAAACCCAAGACCATGCATTTCATAAAAGCTGTTAGAATTTGGGTATGACCTAAATTCCTTATTGAGGTAATTAAAGAATTCTAATTAAAGTGGACATCAAGAAGAATTCAATTTGAAATGCTATTGGCGTCCCATATCAAATTGAAGTTCTATTTTGGAAGTCCATTGAGAGTTGAAATTTATTTTGAACTCAATTTTTTGGTATCCTACTTCATTAAGTACTCTATTAAGAGGGTTTGGATATCTCCTACATGTTTCCTATAAATACTAGGCTTTTCTATATAATAATATAGTGTGAGAAAATAGATTACTAGAATTATATAATCTACTGTAATTTTTCTTTCTTCTCCATTATTCTTGAGTCAATAATATCTTTTAATTCCTCTGCTATATTCTTGTCTTTATTATTCTTTTACTTGATTATATACTTCATTATTATTTGCCATATAATTTCAACATCTTAATCCGGTGGTTTGTTTCACAACAATTTGTATTAGAGCAATTTTGGTATCTTGGTTGTTTTACAACAAGTGGTATAAAAGTGCTAGGTTCAACATTTCTGTAAGAGCGCATGGTTTGATTTGTTAGATGTTTCTGTTCGTGATGGCTTTCATGGAGTAGACATTCTACTTTTGGATCGGAGCACTAGATTTTCACTATGGCACAATAAGATGTGTGCAGTACTCGCACAACTAAATTTAGATGATGCGTTGTTGGGAATTGACAGGATGCCCGTAACTTTGATCACAGAGGAGAAATTACGGAAGGATAAGACGATAGTTTCTCACATTCATCTTTATCTATCAAATACTATTCTTCAAGACGTTTTGAAGGAGAATTCAGTAGCTCCTTTATGGTTGAAGTTGGAGCAATTGTGCATGACTAAAAGTCTGACAAGCAAGTTGAACCTCAAGCAGCATTTATACTCTTATCGAATGGCAGAAGGAGGATCATCGGAAGATCATCTAGATATATTTAAGGAGATCGTCGCTGATTTGAAAACTTTGAAAGTAGAGTATGATGAAAAGGATTTTGCCGTGATCCTATTGTGTTCGTTGCCAGTTTCGTTTTCTTCATTTAGAGACACGATCTTGTATAGTCGTGATACTCTCACCATAGAGGAAGTGTATGATACTTTGTATTCAAAAGAGAAGATGAAGTATCTGGTTTCTGAGGCCAGAGATGGAGCGGTTTGGTTGCTCATGGTGGTTTTGGAAGGGGTATATCGAAATCTAAGTTCAGTAATCAAATTTGTAACTATTACAAAAAGAAATAGCACTTAAAGGAGGATGACTGTAAGTAGATATTCAGATACTTTAGGCGAAGCAGATCTCGCGCAGAACGTTGTAAGTGATGGAGATCTCTTAGTTATTTCTAACATTGAATCTAAACTGGAAGATTATTGGATTCTTGATTTAGCATGTGTGTTTCATGTGTCCTAATAATGACTTGTTTACTACACATGAAACTGTTTCCAAATATGTCGTGGTTATGGGAAACAACCCATCTTATCGGGTTGTTGGAATTGATATAGTGAGATTGAAGATTTTGGATGGGAAAATTAGAATACTTGGACAGGTTCGACATGTTCTAGATTTGAAGAAGAATTTTATCTCGTTATCTATCCTTGATTTAAAGGATTATGAGTTCTTTGGTGGAAGTGAAGGTGGATGTGGAGATTTGAAGGTTTGTACGAGTTCCCATGATGTATTGGAGAGGCGAAAAATGTCTCAGTTATATATGTAGCAGGGACATACAGAATTTGGAAGACTCAATCAGCACAAGTTTAGTACCGTATTTGCCTTTCAGTTTGGTACAATACCTTTAGGAGCTTATAGATAGTCGAATTTGAAGAATATTGCTCAGTGGAGTTTAGAAGATATGGATAATGCCGCTTTGCCACCATCACTTGCGGTACCATTGTATTCAGTTGCTAGAGATGGACTCAGTGGAACAAGTATGTAGATTCTAATTTTGTTGAGTATATTTTAAGTGGAGTAGAAGGTGTATAATCTAGCAAGGGCCTTCTTTAAAAGCTTTTGGGTTTGATTCCATTTTGGGGTGTATTACAACCCATTTTGATTAATTTAAAATTATTATGATTTTTTGGAATATGAGGTAATTCTATAGAGCAGTGCTTGGATTTATTGGAAGATGTGAAATATTTTGTATTTGATTGGAGAAATCAGTTTTTGGCTATTGTTGAAGAAACCCGTTCATTTCTTGGTGAAATTTGTGTCAATGTAGATATTGTTAGAATTTGGGTGTGATCCGAATTCCTTATTAAAATAATTAAAGAATTCTAATTGAAGTGCACATCAAGAAGAATTCAGTTTGAAATGCTGCTGGAATCCTATATCAAGTTGAAGTTATATTTTGGAAACTCATTGTGAGTTGAAATTTGTTTTCGACTCAATTTTTAGTATTCTATTTCATCAACAACTCTACAAAGAGGGTTTAGATGTCCCCTACACGTTCCATATAAATATTAGGCTTTTCTATATAATAATATAGAATCAGATAATAGATTATTAGAATTATATGATTTATTGTAATTTTTCTCTCTTCTCCATTATTCTTGAGTCAATAAAATCTCTTAATTTCTCTATCATATTCTGTCTTTATTATTCTTTTGGTTGATCACATACTTCATTATTATTTACCATATAATTTCAACATCTCAATCCGTTGATTTGTTTTACAACAATTGGTATTAGAACAATTCTGATATCTTGATTGTTTTTCAACAAAAGGTATTGTTTCCTCCCTTCTAATTGCAGCAATTCTGAAATAAAAGTTATCACATATTTATCATTTATCTAATTCTCCCACATCTCAACACAGTTATAGTTATAAATGATTCTATTAAATACACATCAATATCAAACCAAGTCTAAGAGGTTGAACTCCTGGTTTTGGCATAGACCATGTTTCTCTTCACGATAATTATATTTTAGTGGTCCAATAGTTCAATTATTAGAGTTGTGCTGCTGTGCCAGGTCTGTAAAAGATCTGGCACAGCCATGTGAGATAGGGTGGGTGGGTGTTTTAACATTTTTGGGGGGTTTTTTTAATGAGCTAGGTTCTCGGNTTTATTTAAAAAAAAAAAAAAATATGAAGACCAGTATAATTATGAAAATGGCAGATGGGTTCCTAACTTTTGGAAAAAGTAAAAATGGATCAGTCCTGAACCTTTATTTAATAATATTTAATTTAACATAGGACCTTGTTTGACTTCATTTTTTCAAAAAATTATTTTTTCAAAACTCATTTTCAACCACACATTTTTCAATAAAATAATTTTACATGTAAGTCAAAAAAAATTCTTTTTTTAACCACACATTCTTTAAAAATTACTATTCTAAAATGCATTTTAGAATAGTAATTTTTAAAGAATGTGTGGTTAAAAAAAGAATTTTTTTTGACTTACATGTAAAATTATTTTATTGAAAAATGTGTGGTTGAAAATGAGTTTTGAAAAAATAATTTTTTGAAAAAATGAAGTCAAACAAGGTCCTATGTTAAATTAAATATTATTAAATAAAGGTTCAGGACTGATCCATTTTTACTTTTTCCAAAAGTTAGGAACCCATCTGCCATTTTCATAATTATACTGGTCTTCATATTTTTTTTTTTTTTTTTTTAAATAAACTAGGACTAATTGAGCATCAGCACATAGGTTAGATAGAGTAATAAAAAACAATTCATGTAATTCACTCAAGTTTATGAAAGTCAGAATTAATATAAATTGTCATTAATATAATTGAATGACAATTTATTTTTTATTCATTTCCAGTAACATTTTATGTGTCCATATCTATGCAGTGTGCACGCCTAAAAAGGTTAATAGTACTTACGTGAGTTTTCAATATGATCATCATCTTGTTGCAGTCATTCCCTTGATCCGCAATCTAAAGACCTAAGCTGTCAGCTTGGATTCGAATGTTATCAATACATCAAAAAATAAAGAAAAATAAAATCTATTATTTGACAAAACCTTTCAATAAAGTTACTTCAAACACAACATGTTTCCACTTACTGATAAAAAAGCAGTTTAATGTACCTTTCTCCTATTACCAGCCGACTTTGAACTCTCAGTCTCAGATATGATTTTCACTCTTTATATATCCTTTTTCTTCTGTATATACATGAAAGCATATTTCAGAAAACCTACTCTGCAACTGAATCTAGTTTTCTTTACTTGCCTACTGACGTGATGGGAGATAGATCGATTTTGCCTCCCGGTTTCTACTTTGATCCGACCGATGAAGAACTTGTTGTTTACTTTCTATATCACAAGGCTTCAAGCATGCCCTGCAACCCCAATATCATCCCTGATCTTGATTGTTTTTTACCCGATCCATGGGAATTAAATGGTTAGTTTCATTTGACAGTCTTTGATTATTTCATTTATATAAATTATATTCTTGTCAACAATAATTCTTGGTCAATTTTTACACTAGGAAATATGTTTTATCTTGTATTTAAATGATTTTTTTTATGTTCTGGACGATAGATAAGGCTTTTATGAGTGAAAGGAAATGGTATTTCTTCAGCAGAAAGATGCAAAACCGATCTACGGAAAAAGGGTTTTGGAAGGAGATAGGCCTCGATGAGGCCATATATACAAGTACTGGGAACAAAGTAGGAATCAAGAAATATCTTGTGTTCCATATTGATGCTGTTTGCTCAGACAAGCAAACTGATTGGATGATGGAAGAATATCATCTGCTTAAAAATGGTTTGTTCAGCGAAATTTCCCTAACAGCAGAAAGTCATATCCAAGTAAGACAACTACTAATTTTTCTTGTTTAGGAAAACATTTCTTTGGTTTATGTTAAAATATATATATATATATATATAAAATTAATACATGGGACGCCTTTGTACACAAAACATCTGAGTTCAAATCCCTCCACCACAGATTATGAAAAACTATGTATCAGCACTTCGATTAAAATAAAAGTTAATACTTGCTTAGTTTTTCATAGGTTTTCAATTTGAATCAGGATATTATAATTTGTTACTATGATCAATTGATTATTTTTCTATTAATTGATCGATATAGGATTCAGACGAATGGGTTCTATATCGAGTTCATCAAGCAAATATAAGCTGTGACGGGATCGATTTCTGCGAAACTGATGATGGAGATCAGCTCTCTTATCTGGATGAAGTCTTTCTGTCTATGGAGGATGATCAAGAAGAGATCAGTTTTCCATGTTAGATTAATCACTCATGCAAGTACAATACCTGAGCTACTAAAAGTTAACTCACTGTAGAAAATATTATATGCTTTTATTTTGTTTTATTTGAAGCAGTCAGAGAGACAGATACGTCTGTATAATATTAGAAAAATGGAAAAAGAAATATATTGAAAAAATGATAATATAAAACAAAACTGATGCGCATATATATATATATATATATATATGAATGGAAATGTCAGAAGACTTCTTGTTCTTGTATTTTGATATTTTAATACTTCTTCCTTTAATGTTTCTAACATGAATTTTTAATACATTTAAATGACAATTATGTTGAGATTCATGATGGTGTTATGTGATTGGAATTTCTATGTTTCTTGGCTATTCACTTTAGAGGAAGTATCAGTGTTGAACACTAACAAAAAGCGTAAAGGTATGGGATCCTTTTCGGATCCTTTAAATTAAATGAAAATCTTACTTATCAATTTTGTTATTTAAAACGACTTTAATTTGTATTTCACAATCCTAGGATTGAAACGGAATTCAAATGAAGTATTACAATTTGTAAATTAATTTATTTTAGTGCTCACTTGAAACAAGTAAGTGCAAAGTATGGTACACAAGTAATAAAGGATGAGTAGAATATCATTCTCACTAGGTTTGTATCGAGCTAGAAAATCAATTAAACCTAACTTAATCGAATTAGCTTAAATTTAAAGCTTGAATGATAATTTTGGAGAAAAATTCAATTTGTTTGCATAGTGTTTTTCTCGCCATAAATCTCTTCTTGAATAGTGTGTTCAATATTTATAGAGGAAGGTTTTTAAAACCTAAACACGCCCAAAAATATACCAAAGTTTGCTATTGGAGTCGCGGATCAGCCCACAAAGTCAAATCTGGCCAATGTTTCTGGCCGAAGAAGCACAATTCTCTCTTAGGAGAAAGACCTATAAATTTTGTATTCTTGTTTAAGCAAGAAATACCCACTCCAAAATCCTCCCATTCAGCTTTATCTTGCTTTAGAATTGTTTAAGCAAGACAAACTTAATTCATTTTTCATCAATGTTCATCTTCGTGACCTTGACTCTTGACTTTTTACATCACCTCTTCGAATTTCGCTTTAAAACACACTGATTTCTTCTTGTTTTCTCTTCTAATTTCATTAGTGTATCTCAAGCTTATGAATTTAGACTCGAAACTCATAAAGATACAAAAATAATAATAAATGACTTGAAAAACTTCACATCACTACCCAAGAATCTTCAGCAATCTACGTAAGTAAACAAAACACAATTATCAATTTACATTTAAATATCCCTTAAAAATCATCCAAAATTATCAATATGTAAATTTTTGAAGTAATTTTAAATTTGAGAGTTACTAGTTCGACCCTAAAATCACCTGGGGGGGTGGTGAATAAGTGAGTAATGGGGAATTAAATATTATCGTTGATTAGTACTGTAACAATTAACAATAATTAATTACTCCAAATTCAGTTCACGTAAACTAACAACCCTATGTTGAATTGTTGGCTTCTATGAAATCAATAATGTAAACTAAACAAATAATTGATGATGGAGAAAACCTTAACTAGGTAAAAACTTCGGGATTAAGCCAGTATTTTCTATTATAGATAATAAGAATTTACAATATGACCCAACCTAGAAAATCCATTAGACTCGCTAATCTAACTCCTGTAATCTTCAAAACCTGTTGGAATATGCTTCGCTTACACCTGCTCCTAATCTTCTGGAATTGTCTATCTTTTGTAGATCACCAAGAACACCTTATTCTTATATTTTTGGTCTAATCTCCCTTAATCTTCAGCAACCTCTGAAAAATATTGAGAAAGTACCTTATAGATTATATTTAGGAAGTTTGCGTTTTGGATTATTTGAATTTGATGTTTTTTTCAATTTGTGGTTGATTGATCTCAAGAATCAAATGCTTAATCTTAATGTTTGAATATGTTCTTGGATCTTGGAATGATGTTATAAGAATTTAGTATAATGATCAACTATACCAAAAACATACTGGGCATTGAATATTTATAATAGAAGGTATTTGGAAAGTATAGGATAGACAGAACTCTTGAAAAACGCGAACTTTGGCTTCTCGAAAAACACCGTCACTCAATCGTAGGCAAGCGACGGGAAGTGAAAAGTACATCGTTCGAGCGATAAGCGGGCAATAATGATTCTACTTTTTCCACTCGAGCATCGACTAGGCCGACATGTTAGCGTAAATTTAGCAACTCTTTCTCCTTATTCTATACTCAAACCAAAAGACTCCTAATTTATTTATACAACCCTCCAAGAGACTCCTTGACTTTTACAAACAATCCTATTCTTTTATAATAATCATTTTGTCTAAAAAACCTAACAACTTCCCTCTTTGGCATTATGTGGCAAAAATATAAAATACAAGTCAAGGAAGTAAAAAAAAAACTAATCTACCCATACTCAAATTGAAACCAAATGTCTATCTCTTGCATTTCTTGTTAAACCTGTTTCTTGAAATCAACAATTCAAATACCAAATGTAAAAGCATGTGATACAGGAACTAAGAAACAAATTATCATAAATATGCTAGCTCGATTGAGAAGTAGTACCAAGTTAATCAAAACACCAACTGAGACATTAATATCACAAAATATCAAAATTCAAAAAAGTTAAGCACTCAATAAAGCAAAACTCCTAATACCATCATCCCTCCTTACTGCATAAAACTAAAATGCATAAAATTCAATTACTAAATTTCAAATGCCATCATCTAATTGCCAACTTCTCCCTATTTATCACAAATGACGAAGGAAACTATATCAAAAATATATAATAACTCAAAAATGCAGTTGATAGCATGTACAAGTATAATCAATGATTAGTAAATTTTCCCACATATTGAGTTCAAGTCTAAATAAAATAAATTGTATAAGTGACTCATGTGTGTAAAGTGTCACTAATTCCTTGTGATCAAGATTTCAAACCTTAAATTTGTGAGAAATGACATGCCAAACATCACTATTAAATAAGTCTATTTCCCTACTAATGAAAGTCAAACCAATAATGTATATTAGTACCTATAAATAAGCTCATTTTTCATGTATATTATTCTTTTCCCCCATTAACTTTGAACATATACACATTTTCGCACAATTTCGATTTTTCTTTTCAATTTTTTTTACATCTTATGTATAGACTCTTTTCCATTAACCAACTAAGATGACCTCTATAACAAGTTTCATGCTGATTACTCCAATTCAGTTGACTATAGAGTATCAGGTTATGAGAAACCCTTCAAACTTAATTGTTCGAATTAATAGGGTTCGAAGAAGAGTATAAGATGAAACAATTTTTTATTTTATTTTAGGGAGATATACTAGAGATTAGATCTACCAAATTAAGGTTAATCAATATTACCTTACTAAAAGATGATTGTCATTCTAAATCTCACACGCGCAATCAAGACTCACTCACAAGATCTTAGTGTGTACAATGCAAATGGTATATGAAAAAACCTATATTAAGTACTCTACATAAACCTAAAAAAAGGAAAGAAAAATATGCTACATCACATGAATTAAACTCATACTTGATAACAACACACATGTTCAAACAAATCATATATCTTGCACAAGAATTTTTTTTTTTTTTTTTAAAATTTTTCAATTATTATTATTATTATTATTATTATTCAAGAAAAATCAAACTACTTAAAAAGAAAAAAAAAAAAATGAGATGCATACCATAATGAACAAATCACAATTAAAAATCATATGCATGCATAAAAAATATCTAATCAGTTAGGTATATAAACCCTCTTACCTTTAAGAGCAACGTGATCAATTTCAAAAAATTTCATATCACTCTTTTTAACCTAAACTTATCTAGTGGAAGACTTATTTCGAGTCAACCGTGTTATTAACTTGGTCAAATGGCTCACTTGATTAGTGAGGAAATCAATTCGGCCATCAAAATCTCGATTTCTAACTTTAGTGAAATTCTGAGTTTTATTTCTATTCAAGAATTTATTACACCTAGGTCCTAACTCACCACAATTGAAACAAGTAGGAATAAACCTAGGTCCAAAGTTATGTGGTCGCTGATATCCATTCCTAGGTTGATAGGTCCTACGATGTCTAGTATGCCTTTGTCCTACGATACACTTGTTCTTGAGTTCAGGATTAGGAACATAGATAGGCTGGTTTGTAGTAGGCATAAAAATGGTTTTGGAAGTACTAGGCTTGTTATAATCGGTCCGCTTATATCCCATGTTCCCAACAGATTTTTACAACCCCAAAAGATTGTCCAGTTTCTAAGATCCACTAGAGAAAGCAAGAAGTTGAGACTTGGAATGTTCAAATTCTCTCAAAAGGTTCTTAACTTAGATTTCTAATTTATCATTTTCAACGGTCAGCTCACTAACTCTTCTAAGAGGACTTCTCAAGTTCACCTGTAAAATCGTTAATCTTAGAATCTAGAGATTAATTCACAGTATCTAGTTCATTGAGGCATAAGGTCGATTCCTGAAGGTCGGCTACGGGTTTCTCTCTAATTAGCTAAAGTTCATTGACTTTCTTAAGCACGATTTTATTCACTTTCTTAATCTTAAATAATCTCCTCAAATAATTTTTGATAGGCCTCATGAATCTCTTCCTCATGTTCATAATCTCCATCGGATTGCTCACCACTATCTATTTCCTCAATTTTTTCACTATCCTTATCAGATTCACTTTTAATTCTAGCTGTGAAAGCTATAAACTTCCCACTTTCCTCATGACTTTACTTCTCACTTTGATTATCTGAGCTAGACTCATCATCAATGAAAGTTACATTCATAGCTTTACCCTGTTTTCTCTTACCATTAGGGCACTCACTTCTATAGTGGTCAAAACCTTGACACTTACGACATCTTACAGATTTAGATCTCTTTCTAGACTCACTAGAATCACCTCTACTTCTTTCTTTAGTCTTCTTCTTATTTCTAAACATTTTTTAAAAATTCTTAAAAAAATATGCTA